GTGGGGTGGTCGGAAGTGCCTTAAAAATCACCGTGGAGCGGGGCGACGCAGAAGCCAATGCCCTAGGACAGAGTGGCTAGAGACTTTTTTCTTCACTCCAGCGGAGTTCTGGGAAGATAGGGTGCTGATTCCTTCCTCCCCCTTTCACTCTCAGGACCCGAGTCAAGTAAAGAGATTCTCCTGCTGCTTTGCTATTAATGGCCAAAGGCGTTGAATTGGGGTATTTAGAACATCCTACTTTTCCGTCCCTGCCTCGCTCTTGGAAATCATGTCTAAAAGTAACAAATGGCTTCAAGGAGCTCTGAGGAGCTCAAACACAAAGGAATTTATAGCTTAGTGTCTGCTGCCCAGAGAAAGCAAAGAATTAGAGAAATTAATCAGGGCTCTTGCAAAAAGAATCCATTTATCTGGCCTGACCTAAATATTTTAGCAAGACTGTTTCTGCAGTTGAAAAGACAGTCTGGAGCCGCTTTGAAAAATAAAATAAACAGGCTAGGAATCTCCTGCCTTCCTAGAGCTCCTGTCAGACCCTACCACACGGGGCTTTGGGGCAAGGTGGAAAGGACTAATAAGGGTCAGAAAAACCGGGCAAAATGGCATTGCACAGACTCCAGTTTCCTGTGTAAATTTAAATTTTCCTCCCAGGACTTGATTTTATAGCTAGAAAATGATGGCTCAATTATGTATTGTGTGGAAGAAATATTGGCAAATCCAAATTCAAAAAATTGGGCTTCAGGGAGCCCATTGTACTTGGGTCTGTCTCCCTTAGCAGTTTAGGAAGAGAGAGATTAGTGGCCTCTTATGATTCGAAAGTTTGAGATTTCTTTTGTGTTTTGTGGGGAGAGGTGGATGGAGACTGAACTGGGCAGGGGGAGGAAAAGAAGCAGGTTCTAGGCTGCGATTAATGGTTCCCCAAAAGGCCCCAGCCCACATGCCTCCCCCCACCCCCCACAACACTATCTAACACTGCCAGGGAGCTGCTGTTAAACCCCATTTTACTAAGGAGGAACTACAGACCCAAATGGCTGTTAATGTCACCCAAAGGCCTGAAACTCAAAGATCCTT